AAACTGCAGAAAGAGATGGGATCCAACGTACAAGTGAAAGATTGGATTTTGAAGGAAGAACATTAATCTCCTTTATAGAGAAAGGAGGTAAAAATAAAAGAATAGAATAAATTCTATTTAATAAATTCTATTTATTCTAAATAAATTCTAAAAGGTAAGTTTGGTAAGGATGGTAGAGAGGGAAACTCTCATTAATAAATATTAGAAGACATAATATCCTTCTAAAAATGAAGGGATGGGTGGCATGGTAGGGGTTCGTGCTATAGCCATTAGATGGATAGAAATGGGAACTAAGAACATATAGGAAGATCATATAGAAGGTATTAAGAGCCCATATAAGTTCAGAAAACATGAGTTTGTAGTGATACTAATCTATTCAATTTTCTCCAATAATGCTCAGCAGCTCAGGTATAGTAAGGAGGTTAAATGTCTTGGTTGATCCTGAGTTAAGGTTTAAATGGAAGGTAGTATAGAAGGATATGATTGATTAAAGTGATGGTCACATCACCAAGCCTGGAAAAAAAATGAGACAAAAAAGGACTTGACATATTATAGATCTCTAAGATGCTAAAGATCATGAAAGAGCTAGAGATAGCTATAGACAGAGAGCAATGGATCAGAATTTAAAATTCAGAGGTAGGACAGTTCTACATTATCACAAGGTTGATGGCATGGCCAAGAAGTGAATATCATTTTTGTTGTAGAGACCAATGAAACTATAAGGTCAGGGTGTTCAGTGAATCTTTCACATGAAAGACATCTAGGATAATGGCAGGACTAGGAGTAAAGAGAATACCATGAGCTAAGTGCACAATTGTCCACAGATGATGGTGAATGTTTGGGTGGTTACTAGATTATGGTAAGATTGAGTGGTAGAGAATGATATGAAAATATGGCACAGCCTCAAAGGATAGAGGAGGAATAATGTTTTGGAAAAGGTAATAGAAAGCAAGAAATGGCCTTCTCATCCCTATGAGGTGTGTCTGTCTGTCTGTCTGTCTCTCTCTCTCTATCATTTACCTACCTACGTACCTACATACCTACCTACCTATCTATAGAGAGAAAATTGTCAGCTTCTATATGAGAGAAATACAGCGAAAACAGTATCATTTGGGGAAAGCTGGGTTTCACTTAAGACAAGGGGGTGAAGACGTTTACATATAACACAAGGTAGAAAGGATTTGGCCAAGGGGGCAGTAATGGGTAGAAGAATGAACTGAAGAATGATACTGTAAAAAGAAGGACTTAGTTTCCAATTCTGATCTTATTACCTGTGAGATTTGGCATGCCACATCACTTTTATGAACTTTAATTTCTTTGTAAAAATTGAGTTAATAAAACCTATTCATAGAGCTGTTGTAAGTAGTCAGTATTATTTAGCAACTAGTAGTATTCAATAAAAGGTGTCAGTTGATAATAATATATATGCAAGAACATTTATTTACATTTAAGTACATTATAGTATATTTATATTACAGACTTATAGTCCAGATTGGTTTAAAAACTGGTTAGATCCCACTGAGTTATTTACTTTTAAAGGATGAATTTTATGGTATGTTATTTTATCTTAATTTAAAAACTTGGTTAGATCAACAGAGTTTTATATTTTCAAGCACATGTTATAAAATGAAGCATAATTTAAAACTCCCTACCTTCCATTTTGCTAAGGATTTCAATGAGTAAATGTTTTTCATCATCAGAGTCCATTCTTATTATGATCAGCACCTGATTAAAAAAATAAGAATTATATATATGTATATCTGAATGATTATTCTTTTTCATAGTCTTGCTACAGTGACAAAATAACAAACTTAACTGGTTATATGAAACTGATGACAATAAGATTCAAAGTAAAATTTGTTTTGTAAAAGATGTCATGCTTAAAAACAAAGAAATAAATTTTGGTAAGATCAAATATTAATGAAAATATTTTGCAGTAGGGCATTCTTAACATTCTTCAAGTATTCCCTTATAAGTGATTCTATCTAGACATAAGTTGTCTCTGCCTTTACTGTTAGTGCTAAATTCATTCCAGGCAAGTGTGAATTTGTTGGAGAAAAACAATGATTTGCTGCTACACCTTCCTGTTTACCATTACAGTTTTTTTTTCTTGGTGGCGGGGGAGGGGAGTTGAGGAGGACAACAAATCAATATCAATTTTAAATTTCTTACTGACTGTTTTATTTCTTTGTGATAAGCAAGTTACAAAGTAACTATAGAGTTGGGGATAAAAATATAGGAGGGACAGAGAGAAAAAAGAAGACCAATTTGTAACCAGATTTAGTGTAAAGCATTTGAAATGTTTTTCTGCTTGAAAAGATTTTAAAAAGCATTTTCTCTTAAATATTTATTAATGCAACTTTCGTATGCTTGAAGTAAGATGGGCAAAAATTTCCAATATAATCCAAGGCAAAAACTAAGTGCTTTTTTTGGTAGAATTATATAAGATGAGATTCTGGCTCAGTATCGAAAAATAAATTATTGCAGTTCTATTATTGGATATATGCTCATGAACTTATAAGTACCAGACAAAATTTTTGAGATTTGGAGGAGCAATCCATAGAAAACTGTGTATAATAAAAATTAAAGTATTTTAAAATTCAAGACATATGAATAATGATGTAGATCATCCTTCCTCTGGGTCTGATTTTGTTTTATTTACTTATTTAAGAAGAAAACAGTCAAAGGACCAAATAATATAGACTATTTTATAATTTCAAAGTTAAATGCAAAAATTTATCTTACATCCAAGTCTTATTTATGCTAATTACTATTATCTGCTCTATTCCAGTATTTACCTTAATTTGCTGTTTACTTTGCATCCAATTTAGTATCTGACATTGTAATTCTTGTATCTTGTAGTTGGTTTCAGGCTTTTTTTTCCTAATGAACTGTACAATTTCTAACTGCCTCCAAATATCATCCAAATAAGAGCCTAAAATACTTTTGTAGACATCTTTTGCATTTGACAAATATCCTGTTAAAAACAAAAGTGGAAAAAAATCATGACTTTTTGTTCTTTGAGAAACTCCATGGTAAAAACCTGAAAGGAAATGAATCATAACAGAGACAGTTAAAACTTCCTTTAATCCTTTTCTGATTTTGATAAAAGATATGGACTAATAGAAACCTTAAAATTGAGTGAAGCCAAAAAATATTTACCAAATATCTCTTTTTAAGCTACATAACATCAATATAACCTGGATATACTCTACATATTCTTGGAGTATATTCCATGCTTTCCTGCTTTCTGGCTTGTTATATGCTATTGCTTTCTTCCTAAACCCCAGGACCTACACTTTCATTCAAGTCCTGTGGAAATGCCACTTCAATGGAATTTTCATGGTATTTTATCTATACTGCTTTTGCATGTGATTTCTGGTTATTTGTGTATATTACTTAACAATCTCATTAGTTTACAAGCTCCTGGGATATAATCCATGATATTTATGCATAATTAATTTGTATAGCTGCTATAACAGCAGTGCTAAAATTCAGACTCACCAAGAGCAATTTTTAAACACAAAATCCTGAGACCATTCTTGAAGGTCCATGTTCAGCAAATCTAGATTGTGTCCCAGGGATTTCTCTGTTTAAAATGCTCTCCCAGTGATTCTACTGCATAGTGTGTTTTGTAAATTACTAAAGTAGAGTACCTGGCATAGTAACTTATCAGGTGTTCAATGAATAGTTAGGCAAAAATGAAATAATAAATTGACAAAATTTAATGTTTATCTTTTATATTTATATACATATTAATTCAAATGTTATATTAGTACAGCTAGACTGATGGGCAATTTAGAGATTGACTTATGTTCTTTCTGTCTCCTAATCTCCAAACCTCCCTCAGATTCTCCTCACTATAATTACTTAACCTTCTGGAAGACAAACCTAATCCAGTAGCATCCCTATTTCAATGGCTTCCTATCATTGACAGAATAAGGTGTACACTCTTTTGTGCAGCTTAAAAGGCTCTTCATGATTTGGCTCTTTCTTACTTCTTCAGGCATAGCTCTTACTGTTTTCTCCCTTGTACTCTTCAATTTAGCCCTATGGAACTGTTTGCAGCATACTCACTGGGTCATTCTTCTTGGCTCTTAATTCTGCCGATAATGTCCTTTCATAATTTATTTACTTGGCAAACTCCTACTTATTTTTTTTTTTAAAATATTCAGCTTAAGGGTAACTGTCTCCGTTCTTTGTGCCATTACTACATATCTCTACTACAGTACCCATTACACACTACTGAATTTATTTCTGATTTAAAGTCCAGAAGTGAAACTCTATACTTTTAACCTTGAAACTTCCAATTTGCTAGCTTGGAAGAGGAAGCAAACTGGAGGCTGGGAGAAAATACAAAATTCTGGAAGGGAGCAGGACAGGCAGCTAGACCCACATGAATCTTTCTTCTTCTGCCACTATAGAGAGAGAAAGAAAGAACAACCTAACTTGCTCTTTGATTTTGAGAGGTTTAGAGGAGTGAGAAAGCCCTCCACTAAAAATGTTTGAGGCAGCTAGGTTATTCATTCTGCCTTCGTACCCAGGGCTTGAGAAGTTAGTTTCTCAACAGAGATTTTACTTTTATAGTATTCTTCGAGGTAGCCAAATAGTAACATCAAAGTTTGATTTACTAAAAGCATTTCTTTGAGGAGCAAAAACAATTTGGTCCAAGTATGTAGCTCTCCATGGTTTCACTTAATCCTAAGGTAAATTGTAGAATACTTAAAAACAAATGTACTTTAGGTAATCCTCCATAAATATTATTTCTCTAATTCAAGGTTTTGATAAGTATTGAGCAGCAGTGAGTCACAACTGTATTCTTTCTACAGCACTGGAAGCTCAGATATTCTAGATTCTGATATTCTGCCTTTACTAAAATGCTTTAATACTCAGCCTAGCTGTAACTTAGTTATAATACATAGCCAGATAATCTAGTATAATACTTTCACTGCTACTCAATACTTATCAAGACCTTGGATTAGAGAAATAATATTTGTTCGGGTCATAGATAAGAGAAAACATCTGGGTCATAGATCAGAGAAAAATTATTTTTACTTTATATTTTAAATAGGTTCTAGAAACTCTAAATTATAAAACATAATCCTATAAGCATACTATTTCTAAACAAGTCTAAATAATCCTGCAATAGGGCCCTGAAGCAGTAATGTTGTAAAACAGATATTTTAATGATTTTGATAGAAAAAAATTGCAAAATCTTAAAAATTTTCAACACATTGAAAATAGTCTTATTTTTCTTACTCAAGTAGTTGATATCCTAATTTATACACACAACTAAAAAAGAAATTGTGGAAGATCTTAACGAAATATAGTTTAGTTATATTTCATCTAGCAAAGATTCAAAGCCACAGACATTCAATGAAGACCTAATATGTATATGGCAAAATGTCATCTTATATTAAAAATTAGTACATGATAATAATTATGCACATCAAATCTGCTTAAGGCCATTAGGGTTCTATAATTCAGGCCTAGATTAGAGAAACCTAAACCTATTTTTCTAGATAATGATAGTTGTTACAGCTAATTTCTTTTAATGAGTATAAACAGAATAAAATATATATTCCATCGTATTTATGTCAAAATGTATATAATGTTTAATGTGAAAGTAAAATAAGTTACACAGTTTCTTATATGGTGCGTCTTTTTCAGAAAAGTAAAAGTATTTTCAAATGACCTATTTCAATAGAAAGAGAAAGAAGATTAAAAATTTTCCCCACAAACCCAATGCTGTGTCCAAGCTACATGTTAAAAGGACATCTCTAATTGATACCAGAAGGTGTAAGAGAGCAGCATGCTTGAACGTCGTTTCTCTTTCATCATTTGTATCTAAGTAAGCAAGAACATTAAAAACATTATACATTAGAATTTTAGAATATATATCCAAATGCTTAACAATAATAGCTAACATTTATTATTGAGTGCTTACTAGGTGCCAGGCTGTGTATAAGCTGGTTATTTCATTGATTCTATAACAATAATCCTATTAGGCAAGTTTATTATGATCCTTATTCTATGGATGAGGAAACAGTCTTTATGAGGTTAAGTAATTGTCCCAGGTCGATTTGTGAATAAGTGGTGGAGGTGGCATTCAAACCCATACAGCTAACCTTAGAGCTCATATTCTTGTTGCTTCCAAAGAATATCCGATTATTTCTACTCTTGGTGGGGAAAAAGGTCAATGATTTCCAGTTATGAAGCAAGAAGAAAATTAAACTCATTATTGCCAACTGGTTAAATTAAAGATGGAAGATCATAACATAAAGCAATACCTTGAAATGGGGGTGGACACCTAAGAATATTTGTCTAAAGATGTGACTCAAGCAAGAGCTGTAAATATAGGGCAGCACAATTGTCTAATTAATGTGTCCATGTAGTTTTGAGAGCTTTTTGATGATGATAGATTGGATTTTGGTGTGAGCAAAAGTGAAACCAAGAAGACAGGATCCTAGATCCACTGCCCCAGTTTAACAAGAGAAGTTCTACTTTTCTCTGTTTTATACAGTGGGATTCCATTAAATATTTATTTGAACAGATTCCTGCTAAAATGTTTGAAAATTGCCAATCTAATAAATTTTTAGAAATTAAGAGGCAACAGGAAAACCAGTTATGGGTAGTACATGTCCAGCACCTTGAAGGACTTGTGGAAACAAGTCAATCAAGAACTGGAAGGGAAGAGAATAGAACAGGGAAACCAGATTTGATATCATTTTTCTTCTATCCTTAGGAGTATATTTCTTACAGTGTATGTCTGAAGCTGATGAATTCTTTCAGTTTCTATATGTCTGAAAACATCTTTATTTCACCTTTATTTTTATAATATATTTTTGTCTAGTGTAGAAAACTAGGTTGATTTTTTTTTCTCAGTATTTTAAAGGTGTTACTCCACTGTATTTTCACTTGCATTATTTCTGACAAGAAAACTGATATCATCCTTATCTTTGTTCCCCTTATTCAACATATCTTTTTTTCCTTCTGGCTGCTCCTAAAATTCTATTTATTACTGGTTTTGAACAACTCGATTATGATATGCTTTGGTGCATCTTTATTGTGCTTCTTGTGCTTAGAGTTCATTGAGTTTCTTGGGTCTGTGGGTTTGCAGTTTTCACGGAATTTGGAAAGCTTTCAGTCATTATTTAAGTATTTTTTGTTTACTCCCTTTTTGCCTTTTCTTTGATAACTCTAATAGTACTCTAGGCTATTTGAAGTTTCGTAGCCTATTGATGCTCTTTTCTTTCTTATTTTTAAAATTCTTTTATCTACTTGTGTTTTATTTGGGATAGTTTCTATTGCTATGCCTTCAAGTTAACTACTCTTTTCTTCTGCAGTATTTAATCCATCATTAACCCCATCCAGGGCATCTTTCATCTCATACATTATAGTGTAGTCTCTAGAAGTTTGATTTGTGTCTTTTTCATGTCTCTAAATTATTGAACATATAGGATACACTTATAATAAGTTTCAGTGTCCTCTGGTGATATTAACATCTTTGTCAGTTCTGAGTTTTTGATTATCTCATTATGGGTTGTGTTTTCCTGTCTCTCAGTAATCTTTGACTGAATGCCAGACATTGTGAATTTTTCCTTTTTGGGTACTAGATAGTTTTGTATTCATATACATCCTCTTAAGCTTTGTTCTGGGATGCAGTTAAGTTCCTTGAAAATAGTGTGATCATTTGGGTCCTGCTTTTATGATTTGTTAGGCAGGTCCAGAGCAGTGCTAAGTTTAGGGGTAATCATTCTCTACTAGTGAGGCAAAACTTTCCTAAGTATTGTACTCAATACCCCACAAATTTTGAGTTTTTCTAGTCTAGCTGGTGGGAACAGGCATTATTCTCTGCCCTGTGTAAATGCAGAGTACTATTCCCTCAATCCTTTCAGAGGGTTTGTTTCCATAACCTCAGGTAGTTCCCCAACCTGACATATACTCTGTGATCAGCTCTGCTGAATACTCGAGGGAGACTCTCTACAGATCTCCGGGACTCTGTGTAAAGCTCTCTGCTCTCTAATATTCTATCCTTTGAACTCTAGCTGCTTTGGTCTCCCTGGCCTCTCAGTTCTGTTTTAACTCAGATTGTCCACCATGTTCTTCTTCTGGTATATCTGCCATGGCCTGGTGATTCTTTCAAAGTGGTAAGCTAGAGCAATGGTAGGGATCAACTCATTTGTTTCTCATTTCTCAGGAATCACTGTCCTTCATTGCTTGATGTCTAGGCTTTTAAAAACTGTTTTTATGTATTTGTCTTTGTCATTTTTTTTTCTGTATTTCTGGCAGGAGGGTAAACCCAATTCCTGTTATTCTATCTTGGCCAGAATCAACTTTAATCTATTTTTTGACCTCTCTCTTTTTTGGGAGGAAACTAAGTGGTTCAGGTGCTATCATTAGTAGGGTTAATTTGGTTTCTGTAATAGGAATCTGGCAAGTAATATATGTCAATGGAGCTCCACTAGAAGCAATGCCAGATGATATTTCTTAACTTTTTCTCCTTAGTTAGCTGATCCTCCAGTATTGGTCTATGGGTGACATATATTGAATTACAGTTTTGCCTTCACCCGTAACTAATTTCTGCATTTTCTACATTAAATTTTAACTAATATGATATATAATCCATAAATTTATAGCCTTTTCAATAATGATTTTTATTTACACTCACCTTGGTGAAGAGCATCACTTATTACTTTTTCTTGTTCCTTTAAGAGAAACCTTGTTTGGTCAAAAACAACAGTGGCAAATTTCCAATTAGCAACAGGAAGAGTACAGAAGCATGCAAGCTTTTTTAAGATAGGAGTAGCTGCTGCTTCTAGGATACAGTATGCTTTGCACTGGCTATCTGCAAAAATAAAAGTATGAAAGGCAATATTTTTATAAAGATGGTGTGTTCTTGACAAACCAATTAAACATGTTACTTCATGGAAATCTGAACTCTAGCTAAATTCTTTACTGAGTTAAAAATCATGAGTTTGTATAGAGGCTTACTTAAGGAATTTTATTCTAAATAAACTAGTAAAAATGAAACACTGCCCCTGTACAATTAGTATAACTTTATGGCTACCTTGTTTATTAGAAAGTATTTATTCAATAACTAACTCAACATGGCAACTATGAAGAACCACATAAATAGAATCATATATTTTTTTTCTCTTCCCTTGACTATTAACTTACAATCTTAAGACAACCAAATTTATGGCAATGACAAATTGTTTCTAGTTTTCACTAGAATATCAATGTTTAATGTATTCATCTAAAGGCCATGAATAAAATTGAACCAAAAGAATGCAAAGATGTTCAAGAACTAGTGTCATCTTTCCTTATCGATTTTGATAATGAGCATGATGTTCGTAAGTAGGCTGTTCTTTAGGAGCCAAAGAAACAAAAATTTTAATCACTATAGGAATCAATAATAACTTATTTATATCACCCTAATAGTGTGTAAGGGAACAGAGAAAGCAACCCTTAGCAGATAATTTTTTAGTCTGGGGCAAAAGTCTGAATTGTTTGCTCTTCTCTGATGAATGTAGAGAAGCAGCAGTTTAAATGAAAGAAGAAATAACAGTGGACTGGAACAGGGCAATGGGGAGGGACAGAGATAGTAAACAGGGCATTCCAGGGTTGGAAATAACCTGAAGGTAAGAAGAAAATACATGGAAAATGAGATATATTCTAGAGACCCAGGAAAAGTCTTTCAAATTTACTTAATTTGATTGTATCTTAAAAGCTTATAGCATACCTGATGCTTGAATTTCAATGACATTATCTATTCCCTTTTCTTGATTTATTTTCTCTAGAGTTTTATTAGTACAAACAATAGGACTTTCTTCTGGAAGAGTTGAAGAATGTTCTTCTTCATCTTGATATTCTAATAAAAAAATTTGCATTGTTCAGAAGAAACTTAATGTTGCTTTACTTAAATGCTTTCTTCTATTGTGATCGCCATTGTTAAAATTCTTTGAAACCTATCAGTATTAAGTTGAACTATTCAGGTCAATGAATCTAACACTGCACTAGGGTAGGAAGCTGAGTGGTAATAAGGGAAAGAATGTGGCATCAGATCAGTGTTTCAATCTCAGTTCTGACATTAGTCTCGGTTTTCTAATATATAAAATATGGCAAAATATACCTACTTTGAATATTGTTATAAGGATTAAACAAGTACAGTTCCCAACACCTAAAAAAAATGTACTGTTCTACTTTATTTCATTTCTCTATGACTTTCCACATACCCTTTCTTCTCTATGTCATGAATCTATCCTAATCAGCTCCCCTCCCACCACCATGGGGAATCCTGTCCCAGTCCGATATAGTATGGAACTAGGTAGGTAACTCTATGTAGTTCTGGTGTTTAGTTAGCAAGCCATTTGGCTCTCAGACTAAGGTCCTTTCTCCAACTTAGTCTTTATTAGTAAAAGAGGTAATATTTTGGTATATATTTTACTTCTTGTCTTATTTTATAATTGATTCAGGGGCAAGATCTTGTATACATTAATAGTACATAGAACAGTAAGACCTAAATATGCTCTAACTCTCATATATAAATGTTTTTGTACTAAAAAATATTTTTGTACTTATTTCATCTGGGTAACCTGTGTCAAACATGTTCTACAACACAGATTTTCTTTTTTTACTAGAAGTAAAATGTTATTATGACGCATTACACTACCTTTGATGTGTTTATAAGCAGTGAATGTAAAATAGTTACAATAGAAACTCTTTGGTAAAATAAAAACGAGTAGTAAGTAATCAACTAGGCAAAGTGTTCTTAAATACACATTAAAATATAAGTCAAAATACTAAGATAAAAATATTGGCTAAAAGAGAAAGAAGAATGCAGAACGATCAACAAAAGTTAAAAATATTATGATTCTGTATGGCCAAGTTGTAGAAAGTTTTACAAATAATGACTTTTCTTATAAGTTCAAATGCACCTTTTAATTTGTTTGAAAACCTATATTTCTCTATATATCTATATACATCTATCTCCATACACAATAAATGTCATGAATCAATGATGTTTTCTTTGACTTTGAAAAATAATATATTCTATCTAGAAGATTTATTTTTTTACTTTCTATAATAAATTATACATTTAGTCCTTGAAGCTATCATATCTATGCCAAAATATTACTAAATTACCCACCATCTTTCTCATCAATGTCTGTGACTTCAGTCTTTGAGGTGCAAGTTTGTTTATTTCGCAGCATCATAAAGTCATTCAAAAGGTCTAAATTACTCTCCCGTTTTTTACCATGTTTATAAGACGCTTTTCCAATTTTTGAAGAGGGAGATGATTCAGTAGATAGTACTGTACAATCAAGTTGCAAGTAATCGTTATTTTCTTCATTTTGTATTATTCTGTAAACTAGTTCTTGATCAATTTTTGTTTTTTCTTGTTGTTTTGGACTTCTAAGAGAGATATATTCATCAGAAAAACACAGGTCTGGCACTTCTTTTATTGGAGATGGACTTTTTTGTGGAAGTGATAAATTATCACTTATAGATTCCTCGTTAATAAGTTCAATAGGTGAGGAAATACTTGTATGGTCTAGCCATGCTGAAAACAAAAAATAAAAAATATCCAAATGACTTCCATACCTAAATAAGTATTCTACTAGAGTATTAGGATAACTTTGTGAGTTTTTATTAATGTCATTTGATTCTTAGGAGTACTTTGTTTATTGCTTTGAAAATCAATATTTGATCTGAATAAAATACATTTTTTTTAAAGAATAAAAACCCAGTGTATCTTTTTCTCACTATCAAAGCTAGGTTTCTAGGCAAAAAAGAATTCCAGAAAAGCCTTATTGCCAATAGGCTTATTGTAAGTCATATCCTTGGAGGTAACAGTTACTCTAAGGGACAAAAACTTACATACCAAGCAAGCCACAGACTGAAAGAAAATACTTGCAATACATATACTTGAAAAAGGTCTGTATCCAAAATATACAAAAAACTCTTATAACTTAACATTTAAAAATAAAGCCAATTAATAATTTGACAAAATGTTTGAATAATACTTCATATAAGATATATACATGCTGCAACATGAACGAATTTGAAAACATGCTAAATGAAAGAAGCCAGTCACAAAAGACTACATATTGTATGATTCTAGTTACATGAAATGTGCAAAATAGGCCAATCTATAGAGACAGAATAGATTAGTAGTTCCATAGCTGAGGAAAATGGAGAGTAACTGCTAATGGGTACAAGATTTCTTTTGGGAGGTGGTATAAATGTTCTAAAATTGATTGTGGTGATGATTACACAACTCTGTGAATATACTGAAACCCTCAAGTGGGTGCATTGTATGATATGTGAATTATATTCAGTAAAGCTATTAAACATACATATATATATTTTAAAGACATACTAATGGCCAATGAGCATGTAAAAAGCTGTTTGTCATCATTAGTTATGGGAAAAATACAAATCAAAACACAATGAGATACCACAACACACCCATTAGAGTGCTAAAATTTAAGACTGTCAACAAGTGTTGGCAAGATATAGAGTAACTATAACTCTCACACATTGCTGGTGTGAATGCACAATGATGCAACCACCTTGGAAAACAATTTAGTCATTTCTTATAAAGTTAAACATACACCTACCATAAGACTCAGCAATTCTACTCCTAGATATTCACTCAAGAGAAATGATAACATGTCTACGAAAAGGTTTATACAAGAATATTCATAGTAGTTTTATTCATAATAGTAAAAACTAGGAAAAAAATCTGGGAGAGTTTAAAAACAAACAGTGGTACATTCATATAATGAAAAATTCCTCAGTCATAAAAAGAGATGAACTAGTGATATACACAACATTGTGAGTGAATCTCAAAATGTTATGATGAGTGGACAAAGCCAGACACAAAAGAGTTCATACTGTAAGACTCCATAAATGAAATTCTATAAGAAGAAAAACTAACATATAGTGACAGAAAATAGACCAGTGGTTACCTGGGGTCAGAGGTTACCTTGGTAGAGGACAGGAGTGAGATGGAGGGAGCATCACTGCAGAATACAAAGGAACACAGGGAACTCTTTGGTGCTAGAAATATTTTGTATCTTAATTGTGATGGTAGTTTCACAGGTATATATATTTGACAAAATGCATCAAACTATACAGTTAGAATGGATGCATTTGATTATACCTCATAAAGTTTATTTGAAAAAAATACCTATAGGGCCATCTAAATAATGTAAATTAGTGAAATATATGGCAGTGCGTAAATCATGATCTTTGAAAATTTCGTATTTTTCCCTTCCAAAATGTGGTCTAGAAAATTTTTGGTTTTGTTTTAGCTTTTATTAGAAATATTGGTATACTCTACTTTCCCCTTAACTATACTAAATCTAAGACAAAAGTGCAAGAGCAATGCTAACGCCAACTAACACCTGGCCTCAATTTGTGTGTGCTGAAAACTATGGTAAACTGGAGGGTGTGTGGTCTAAACTGGTGAGCTGTTATTGGCCCCGGTCAATTGCTGCCATATGAAAATCTGAATGTGGTTTTTGGAATCTTAAAGACAATTTCAAAAGACAGATCATTTATGTGCAACCCTGCAAATTTTAAATGTTGGTAACTAATGAAAACCATATGGGTCAATAATACGTGAGCTGAATAGAAACCTCAGTGCTACCAATTTGCAACCTCTGAGATATTTTCTGAAGAAATTTTGGTATGTTTAGCAGGTAAATAGGAACTGTTTATTATTTCATTTTCCTAATTATTTTCCTTTACTATTTTCTCTTTAACCACCCCTACCCTGACAACTTGGCCATGGGCTCCTGATACTGTTATTACTTTTTAGACTTCAGAATTAAACTATCATTATAGTTTTATTAGATATTAAGGTAAATAATGGGTTTTATTTTAACTTAAAAATAGTTACATATCATAATAAAGACTTTACATAATTTATAGAGCTAATACATTATTCTGGATATCTGAAGGCCCCATAAAATCTTCCTCTCCCTTTTCTTCATCAGCAATCTAACATAATTTCTTTGAAAATTCTTCTTCTACTGTGGGTAATCATCTAGGCCTTGGATTGACTGGTATGCATTTGCTTGATATAGCCTGCTCATTTATTCTTGCTACCACATCCAAAGCCCTATGTCTTCTCAAAGACATTGCCAAATGTCTTTCCAGTTCTTATCTCCTTAGAGCAGTCTCCCAACGTGCACAATACTTTCTAAAATTCATTTTTAAGTATATTTATTTACTCTATAATACACTGAAAATACATTTTTCCGACTCCTTTAAGATCTAAATTAATTAGTAACTATTACAATAAACTGATTTTAAAACAATATATATATAAAATTAAAACAATGCATATATACTTCAAAAACATACAATTCAGGTTAAGTATGTTCACTTTACTATAACAGCACTTATAGCAATCAAAATAACTCAAAAGATCAATACTCAAAAGATATTTTTGCCTTCTTAAATTGCATAAGTGGAAAAGGCTAAATGAGTAAACTTTTTGATAACAAAAGAAGATTTTCTATTGTTGAGGAGAGATTACTAGTTATTATCGAACAGAGTTCAGCTGTCAGGTCAAAAAATAACAGTGCTTGTTTGTGACTAGGCTGAGTAAACAAAAGCTGAGATGGCAATTAATCATTTATAAAAGGAAACAAAGTCACTTTAATTGAAAATGGCTAGAAATTTTAAAACTGAGACTGTTAAATTTTAGGACAGAAAAAGATTTTAGGATTAGCTGGTCAAACTTATTTTTTCAAGGAAGAGCCAAAGCTAATATTGAGTGCTGGAATTTAGTTACATTTTCCCAATCACCTGGTGGAAAACCAGAATCTAACACTACCTCATGCTGAAAATGTTCACACAAGTGATATATACCATTATGTACTTACATTCTAATTGCAACACTTTTGTAGGCAAAAATATCTCCATTTTAGTATCATCAGAAGACAGATCATGATATGTAGTCAGATGTTCCAAGGTGTCTGTCTCTATCAGATTTAGTCCTGCTTGTTTCCACCACTCTGGGCTTACGGGAGTAATGACAAGGCTTTCTTCTTCAATAGAAAGTATCTTTTTCAAATCTGTAACTGAATATTGACTATTGGGCTCTTCAGTTCTTGGCACTTAAAAAACAACAACAACAACCCCAAAAACAAATAGTCTGACACAGTCCACAGGGCAAAAGAGATGAAAAATGCAATAAACAGAATCACTGAAAATTTCATATGAAATAGATTTTCACACATTAGGGAAAAAAAGTAAAACTTGAAGTTATATCTGGTATTTCATCTTCAAGATTGAATATTTGTGAAAGTCCAAAATATTATAGCAATAGTAGTCACATAAAAAATTTATTTCAATCTGTACAAATATCATGAACATAGTTATTCTAATATTTAGTAGGAGATGGAACTATTATTTGTTTGACTTAGTATTTATGAAATTAGTGCTTTTGATCACATTTTGAAGAAGTAATGTAAGATTTATTAAATCAGAAATTCTAATTCATTATAATGAGTGTAAATAAGAAAATATAGTTGATGAATTTTATGATGACTATCATTTTAGATATTGTGGTACAGGGCTTTCTGCTTCATTACTTTTAGCTTCGAGACTTATTATAATTTATAAAGGAACTAAAGCAGCACAACTACTTAACATTATTATCTGTATTATAAGCATCAATCAAAAATTAAGATTATAAGTTTTGAAATTCTAATTTTGGAACTGTGGTTTTTATATGAGAGTAGTGATGATAATAAAAACAGTAAAACTGACAATTACATTTCTACAGATTGTAGGTTTTCACCTATACATTTTATTTAGCATTCAAAATTATTTAATCTTTACCTGGAAGTAAAAATAGGTTCAAAAAGCTTCTACAGCTTTCTAATTGCCACATCCCAGAGTAACTGTTAGCTGATTCTTCATCAGTAAGCAAATTACTGAAAAAAAAGTTAAAGTTTAATACATTAATACTATCAAATCATATTGCATAATACAATTTTAAGAAAAGAATTTTTCTAAGTATTTTTTGCACTCAAAAGAAAATGAAAATTTTATAAATGTGTTAGCTGAAGTACAGAGTTCTTACTATGACCTCCTCTTGGAAGGTTTGCCAATTTGTCTTCTCCTTTACTGCTCCTGCCTGCCTATAACTTACCCCCACCTCTAAATCCCTTCATGAACCTGGAGCCAGAGGCTGATTTGGGAGGGTTTTCCACTTCTTTCCATAAACTGTGCCAGCACCAATCTTGTAAGTCACCCGAAATAAAAATACAATTTAAAATTACTGTACTTTCCATAACAAATAGTAGCTTCCACACAAACGTATATAAAATTGTTGTCCCCAAGTCCATTCTAAACAGAAAATCTGGAGCCTCTACTGACTGAGAGTCAGAACTATGAAAAAGTTCTTCTGTCTGCTCTATCTTTTCAGGAAGTGACAGGTCCTAAAGTTTAGTTCAGTCCTTCAATATTGGTAGGTGTGTGAGTGATATGTGTTCTTGAAATTTTTGGGGTACTGGGGGGAGAAGAGAGAGGAAGTATGCATGACAGTCAGTGAAAATTACAGTTCATCAGTAGCTATGAAGATATTAGCCTTGTTAGGGAAGAGAGTATTAATTCACAACCCCCTTAATCTATGCTCACAAAAGTCCCACTCCTTCCTAAGTGAGAATTGATTATATTCTGTTTCTCTGTACATATGAAACATATGAGTATGCCAATTATAATTATAAGTACCGCTAGTTAAATTGATGATTCTGGGCAGTAGCAACCTTAGTTTTATGTCTAAGCCATCCAATTTACCCACATAATTAAAAAATCTGGCATGTGGTGGCAAAATCTGAGAATCTACACGATTCTTGGACCTTCCCAAGGTCTCTTTGGCATCTAGACACCTCAGACTGTAGGCAACGTTTTTAAAGTGAAAGGAAGGGGAAATGCTTAGGCAAGCCATGTCCAACAGGAGACTGTAATATAGACAAATATTCTCAGTCTTAACGGAAATTTCTGAAGACATGTCTGAATTTGATATATTCTGTGGTCATATATAAAACTGTGCTCACAATTCAGTAATCAGTTAGTGCAGGAATAAAGTATTATGCCATATAGACTTTTCTTTTTAGCCCTATAAAATTTAGCAGAGTTTTGTATGTGGTAAGCCCTAAAAATATCTGTTAACTGAATATATTTCCATCTAAAACGTGTCTAAAACAAAAGTAATTGGGGCCATAAAAGCAAGTTAAAAGTATAATTACATTGCATAGTATTTTTCCCTTCTGTTGTTTTCTTATTTTATCACTTTTTCTCTTTGTTTTTAATTTCATAGTTGAGGTATAAATCCATTTTTAAAATAGGAATTTTAAAGTTTTTATATTCACGAACCAAATAGAAGTGATTTACCTCTTGTTAGAGAATGTAGTAGTGATGAGACAAATTCTTTAAGTTGAGACAATGGCCTTAGAACCTTGGATAATTTAAGTCTTCTGTTCTAACTTTGGCAAATCATTACCTAGATAAGACTTAAGTTTCACAAAGCCTCATTAGATATTTGAGTTATAACAATAAGTAGATATACAACTTATGTGATTAAAACGTTTGTTATTGTTTAAGTAAATATTTTTAATATCAGATTGAAATTCAAGATTATACTAATTTCTGCTAGTTTGTCTCATATTGCCAATCTGCCTTAACAGATGGATTAGGGCGTATGGAGTAAATAAAAAGCTAAAAGAGCACTAAAAGAGACAGTATGGGTCTTGCAAATAAACATCTTGTACCTTAGCAAAAGGATTAAAAACATTTAAACAAATTATAGGTAGTTTCTGTACTTGTCCCATGCAGTTTTTTAGAGCTCATGTCTCATATGGGCAGTTCTAGTTCACGGTAGAGTTCTGTATATCACAGATGTGTCCCCTGAATGACATAATTCTTTGCCAGAGATGAAGATAATTAAGACTCTCAAGGCCAGGCTCCTCTATTCTACACCCTGACGCCTTCCTGAGACCACTAACAGGAGCCTGAGCAGCTAGTGATGAGTTGTTCCAGTTGCTTCCAGTACCCAACAGCATTCCCCTCTGATAGATCAGCCAATCATAACTAAGAACTCAAAACCACACACATAGCTCCTACAGTGTCCACTCTAAGAATAATTTATTAAAGACTTGTAGACTTTTTTTTTGGTAATTTTCATAAAAATGTGTTATTTTAGGACACCTTAAATTCCAGGATTACAGTAAAGAAGAAGAGGACTGTATTAGTTATGTTCTTAGTTTTGTAAGTGGCATAAGAAGCAGAGGAATGGGGTGACTTTATTCCAGGATAGCAAAGACAATATTAAGTTACTTGTATGCCACATGGTATCAGATAGCAACCAAAGACTCTTATCAGAGGGCAAAGATGCTGGGTTATTAAGCTGTGCAATTTTGGCTCAAACTAGAATACAATGATTCAGCCCTGCAATATCAATTCTGAGAAGATTATAGACCAGTCTGTATAGTAACAATGGCGTGTTGAACAGATTTGTGGATCAATATTTGGTTCTACATGTCTGGTCCCCCCAACACCAACACCACATTGACAGAGGTAAACAAGGTCAGTGGATGACTTCTGTTAGAGATAGGACATGATCCCTGATACTCCTAGGAGAGTAAGCTGATAGCCAAATCTATTGGTCAACCACTGTCCACACTGTGCTGGGATCCTTGACTATTATTGGTCAGAGAGCTATGACAAATCTTTCGGAAGACTTCATAACAATTCTGTGAAGCATAAACTGTTATTATTCCAATATTACAGGTAAGGAAACTGAGGCACTGGGCAACTAAGGTCACAGAGCTAGGTAGTGATTGAGCCAGGCAATCTGGCTCTAGTTCAGGGCTCTTAACTCCTTATTATGTCCTTCTAAAGTTATTTTATGCAGATAAAAACAAGTATGTACATGTATATTCATATATTCCCTCCAGTTGCTTACTATAGACACGGTTCTACCTCTTAGATTTTTTTTCACATAGGTATCCTAGAAATTGCCTTTACATGGAGAGATTTAATTAAAGACTGCTTGATCTGAATTGCAATTTGAATTCTAGATATAATCTTTACTTACATTTTAGAGATAGGAGAAAATGGAAATGTCTGAAGTCCTGTACGTAATGAGTTCACAGAAGAATATTCATTTTTTAGGTGTAGGTAAGTTAATGGCATTTCTAACTCTTCTAGAATACATAAAAATTAAAAAATTACAATATTACATAAACATTGAATAAAATTAAGTATAATTTAGAAATTTTTATTAGCAACTATTATATTTGACCATTATGTTACAACAAAAGTTTTCAAGAGAAAAACTTGGGTTATTTGAAATACAAGATAACAGTTTTAAATTTGCATCTAAATAAGGAATCATACACATATCACATGGTGTCTCAACTGTGATAGTGGTGATTTTTAAGAAAATCCATTAATTAAGTTTTATTGAGTTTACTATATGAGATAAATTCTAAGAGCTTTATGTGTAATAACGTTTTTAGTTCTGACAACTTGTGTTGTCAATACTTAGGAGATAGTACTATTTTTATCTCCACACTAACTATTGGTGATGTTAAGTAAATGATATTAATGGTGAGTAATCCTGCACCTTAATAAGTCTGGAGTCTAGGTGGCCTAGCACAGAGTTCTATATTTATAGGGTGGGCTTGACAAACTGATCCTCACTTATTCATAAGTGGTCAGTATGTTTCCATCACTTTCATAAATAAAGAGGTAAATTTCCAAATAGATAATTAATGTGATCCAATTGTAAATGTAACCAACTAACCGTACCAGCGACATAGTTAAGAAGCATCACAATTTGCCATTACACTGAAACAAAAGATGATTCTAAGATTCCAAATGTGATAGAATTAATAACATTAGCAATAATGATAGGATTGCTTTGAGGGATTAAAAAGTTAAATTTACAAAAATGTAACAAGGATTAGCAAGATTGCTAATACTGAGATGAAATTTAATATTTTTTTCTGAGCTATAAGATTTCTATTTTAAATATTAATGCTATTTTATCCATTTTTCCCCTTGATCTTTGTAACTCTCTGTATATTATTCAGTTTTGATGCTAGAAAGATGACTTAATGATAGTAACAAATGTAAAGGAACAGCTAAGAGAAAAAAAATGACAACTTAGATTGCAATAATCAAATTTTAAATATGAAAACTTTAAATATGTAGACTTTATATGTGAATGCATTGTACTTTTACATACTATATACGTAACCGCTGATAAACTCAATGATTTATTCAAAACTTCCACCTGGTTCACTGTGCTCTGGTTTGCTATGTTCTGGTTCATATTTGCTTTGAATGGCCAAAATCTCTGTGGGGCTGCATTTTATATCCTCAATGTCTATTCCATGCTTGGTAGTAAGATCTGAAAAGAAAAAGAACGTCTACTATCAGCCAAAATGCTATTATACTAAAGTTTTTATAATCTTGTTCATTCTTCTGTGACAATGACTCTTAGTTAGCATACATCAAAGCTAAGTGAAGGCTGGGATTGTAGTAAATACCATAGTCATCCCATAAGGTCACTTGTTTTTTCCATTCATAGATTTAAGTTGTGGTATGTTTTCAAGTTCTGGTAAGAATTTGATTAACTTATTCAGGTTGGCTTTTCATTCCCTTGTTTTGACTTTTAGGCTGATCAGTAATTTCCTTGATTTAGTCTTATCTGCAAGAATTCCTTCAAGCCTGTGGTCTATTGATAAGTAGCATGTCTGTTCTCAGTGGATATCACAAATCCCCCTTCATTCCTCCCTAATATTATATAGCTTTCATCATTTCAACTGAAATTTATGAGAGGGCAGTTAAATATTTGAGCTCAAATTGTCATTAAAAAGAATTTGACAAGATTTACTAAATCTAACTGGGATGAAATCATTTAAATTTTAGGTTATTACTCTCAGTCATCTGATTCCATGAATCATAATCTTACTCTGAGCTTTTCCATACCTAACTAAAGTCAGCATAGAAGTTGTTAGTGCTTTGTCATTGTAGATAAGAAAACGACTTTAGAAAATCAGTATAGTCATAGGTGTCGTAACTTTATTTGTGTAATTATTTTGAAATGATAAATTTCAGAGATGTTTTAAGCTTGTAAGGGTATAAAGAGAAAGACAATGAGAAGAAAGTTTCATCAATAGTAATACTAAGATTTCACCATGTAACCTGCAGAACACTTTTTAAAAATCTAGAGGTTCAGAAAAAAAGTTTAACGAACAAGAATTTTTATAACAAACATTATTAGGTAGTTTTTACAAGTAATAGATCTTTAAATTAATTCTCACCTCTTTTGAAAAGCTTTTCATTTTCATCTTCATAATTTATTATTTCTGGCATTATGTTTAATAATTCCTTCAGTTCTGAAAGTGATGGAATATCAACTTGTTTGAGGCCTGTAGGTATTAAGAATTCATTTCCAGACAAAGTTGATGGCTGAAATAATATATAAGTAAAAAAATTTTTAGTGAGGTTTTCCAAATAAAGATTCCTGAACTCAGAAACAGATTTCTTTGTTCAACTGGTATATCAAATTTTAAGCTAAACCCACACTCAAAATTTTTAATGCTATGCATACATTAAAAAAAAATAGAAGTGTAGCAGCCCCAAATGTATCATTTTACGAGCAATGTTCTAAGTGATGTCCTTTATGGCTCTGATTACATTAGTGATATACAATATCCCTAGATGCAAGAATATCTTCTTTTGGGTTAACAACAAATTTTAAAAATTCTTTATTAAAAATAATCACTGAAGCAGATGAGAGATAGTGAATGGGGAGAAGTGAAAAGGGGTAAATGGAATGGAATGGATCATCACTGCACTCCCTGGAATGTTTCTCTTTCATTCCTACAGAATTAGGTTCCTCAACAAGACTGTATTATGTGCATAACTCAGAGTTAACTGGGGAAGAAAGACGGGGGAATGGAGAAAAGGTGTTACTAGGTGAATTAATATTTTTACCACATGTGGGAAAAATTTTAATTGTAAGGCAACCCTTTAAATGACTTGACATCTACATATAATCTCCTTTGAATGATTTAAGGAAAGCCCCCAATATATAACATTTTCAGTTGTTTTAAAAAATGTTTAAAGTAACTTTGTAAAGGCATCTAATCTATATGAGTCTAGTTTTTTGAGCTTGTTAAACTGTGAAAAATTATTTGCACTCTCAAATGCTAGAATTCTTTACATGTTAACATCATAAAACAATTTTGCGTGCTATTGGAACTATATGCTAAAAAAGAGGGGCTGCTTTTGAGAAGATTGACCTTTAATATACAAAGATGTTGTCCTCCTTATTAATCATTTTAGGCAGCACTTAAAATGCAGTCTCAGACCATTCTTATTCTTATTTTTCAATGAGATCATTTCTCCTAAAGTTCAAGTCGTATCTGTTTTATGACTCACATATCAACCTTTCTAGCTCCAGTTTCCAATTTTTAAATTGGAACATGACCACTTAATGTCCTATACCAAGTATAATGATTAAAATCATTGAGAGAGGTTTTAAAATTCTTTATACGTGGGCTTCACACCAGACCAATTAAATCAGAATATATCTAGGTAGGACCCAGGCTTAAGTATTTTATTAAAACTCCCCAAGGAATTCCAATGTATTGCTAAGGTTTAGAACCACTATCTTAGAAGTAAATTTGATTTAACTGATATACGTGCAACCCATTATCAAGTCTTTTCAACTTGACAATAGAAGATAGTCAACGTATATTACTAAACATTTTAAGTATGCTTTACCACTTTTATAAAAATCTTACCAAAAACAATATGTCATTTAAATCTGCTGTATCTTCTAGCTTCTCTTTATAAAATTTCTCTTCATCCATGTAAAAATCTTCTTTCGCAAGACCTTTGAAATCTCCTTGAAAAGGGAAGCGTTCACTTAAAAAAAAAGCCACATTAAATTACTGTTTACTAATAGCAAGTTACATACTAAATTTGGCCAATCAAAATACATAATGATTAAAATTAGAGTGAGATAGAGCAATGATAAAATATTCATAAGATCTAGACTTGTGAGCATACAAAGAATATTTTCTCCTCTTAAAAATATTTACAACATTAGGCAATTAGGTACCTCAAAAAAATAGCTTCTGTGAAGACTTGCTCTTTAAAATCTGAAAGGGGGTCCTTTACCAAATACAGTTTTAGCCTATTCAGTAGAGCATGTAAGGTTGGTAGCTGACTTTTACAGGTAAAAATGATTTCTTCATCAATAAACAATTCTGAAAGAAATAAGAAATGTAAGTGAATAATAAAAAATTGAAAAGTTATATAAAGGATCTAGATAGTTACTATAGTCGGCCATTAGATAAAGTTGAGGTTTCAAACACATTTTTAATTCTTTAGTTCTTTCTTATACTGTGTATATAAAGCATGTAGCATAGTATTGGTATATAGATAAAAGCTCAATAAATTTTAATATTATTTAGTATACTGAGTAGTAAACAATAACCTGAAAGAGTTATAATGACTCATATTTTTTCAACAAAAATTAATTTAATTAATGAAGAAAAATCTCTTGTAGTCTTATGTTTCAAAATAGCCATAGATAGCTTAAACGAAATTGTAAAGAAATAAAAGCATTTGACTTTTGATGACTCTAATCTTTTCTTCTCTGCATCATTTTGCCTCTTAATCCATCCCCAGAGACTCTGACATGTAGGGAATGGAGACAGTCTGCGAAACCTACAAGTCAGACTAACTCTGATTCTAGCATTCTAGAGTTATTGAAACATGTCTGTTATAAAATTAGTTACAATGAAAATTATATAGCAAAGTCTCTACTTGAGAAGTGTGATTATATCTTACATATTAGAAAACACTACTGCTAACAGAATAAATTTCTCCTCTCTATCCCCACCCTACTTAGTTGTGTCAGGATTTTAACAGTTTCTGAGCCAAGAGAGAGAACATAAATCCTGGCTCCACTCTTCAAAAAACTCTGGGGTGGAAAGAGAAAAAGTAAAATGTAAGCTTGGAAAATGTAAGCTCAGGAACTACTCAGAAAGCCAAGCTCCCAAAAGCAAAATCCACCTTGAAGGGGAGCAATGGTATCTTGTGATAGGCAGTGGTGTTGGAGTTAAGTAATTTTAGAATGGCGTGAGAGAGAGGAAGCATGGAGTGATGTCCCCATGATCAACTACATCACTGGTGTGCATGTGCTTAATAAATATGTGATATAAAGCAGGCAGACAGGGACCATCCCTTCGCCTGGTGCTAACTCGAAACATCAAAAGAGAACTTGTTATACAAACTAGCCTCATAAGAGATTGTTAACCTGTTAAATTCTTAACAATCTTGCGGCCCACAGCTTCCCATGAAACACCAAAGAAAGCTAGATCATGTTCCATGTCTAAGCAGGGCTTATCTGAGAAAATTTAAGGATGGTTCATTTGTATATCCATTTTGTAAATATTAATGAAGTTATATTAATAGTAAAAACACAAACAGCATTAGTTTATATTCTCATTTGCACGTTCAACTTCTAAACACAGACTCTCTAGCCATCTTCTCTTCCAACAGGCTAGCTAATCCTGTTATTTCTGGGAGTTCATATAGTTTTGTTTTCTAACCACCCTTTTTAGATGCAGCCGCTAGATGGCAGCATCACACCACAATTAATGTTCCTCATACCTATACAAAGGTTTTTGTTTGTTTTTTTTTAACCAAGGGTGCTACTTCCTTATATTCTTATGGCTATACATCATTCCCTGGAGTGCTTACTCCTATTATATGTACCAACACGGATAAGGAGACTTTTCCTCTATTGTAGAGGAGTGTTAAACTGTCATGAGGAAAAAAATTTTGGCTAGTTAACTATGAAAAGGAGCAGAAAAAAGAGGTCTATTGATAGGAAAGAAAATAGGTTTATTCTTTGCAGAAGATATTTTTGTCTACCTAGAAAATACAAGATAACTAAATGAAAACAAATAAAAGCATTCACTAAGGTGTCTGGTAAAAAATTATAAAATCACTGGTTTTCAAATATACATAAAAACCTAGTCAAAAATTAACAGAAAAACTCATTCATAATGGCTACAAATATACAAATATGGAGGAAGAAATATAACAGAAATGTGCAGAAAATATATGGAGGCAATCATAAAACTTCAGTGAGGATTTTTTTAAAAATTAAAGAAAAGGCAAGATAATCCCTTTCCTAGCTAAAAAGACTATAGCAAAAATTTTAAAAGTTCCCAGTAATATTAAATTTCTCAAGAGATCTGTTTTGGAACTTGGAAAACTGATTATAAAGTGAATCTGGAAAACTATAGATATAAGAGTAAGAAAAAAATGAAAAAGGAGACTAATAATACATGTTATAATTATATTCAACAGTTAAAACTGTATGATACTGATACAAAAACAGGCAAATCAAAGAACATAATAGAAAATTCAGAAACAAACTCTAATGTGGATAAGGATTTGCTATGTGATGTAAGCAGCGTTTCTAACCAGTGGGAAAAAAAACACTATTCCATAAATGATATTGGGACAACTGCCAAAACATTTGGAAAAAAATATTTTTTATTCTTATTTTTAAACATAAACTAAAATCTTAAAAGAAAGTATGGATACATAATTATCTAATTCAAGGAAGAATTTTCTAAGTATAAAAGCAATGAAAGAAACTGTAAAGGAAAACATCGACAGGACTGATTAAGTTCAAATTAAATATATTCGGGGTTATCAATATTTCTGATATATAAAGGGTTGCTTTCTCTGTTCCCTTACACACTATTAGGGTGATATAAATAAGTTATTATTGATTCCTATACTGATTTTGTCCATTACATTGGATAAATATATTACTACAACATCAGTAATAATATACTCAATGATGATAAGGCTGGCATAAACAGGTTATTTTCATACCATGCTAGCGAATAGATAGCTAAAAAAAACACAACTTATATCAAATGATTCCACTTCCAGGGATTCACTTTAAGAAAATAATTGGAAATGGAAACATACATTTATATGTACACATTTGAAATTAAAAACATTAGTGCTCTCAAATTGGGAAATGTATGATAAATAAGATTAAAACTGCAGTTATTAATAGCCATACTTTTGAAGAAAACTTAAGTATATGGTGAAATGTTCCTAAGATAATGGTAACATTTAAAAATAATATAATGCATATACAGTGTGATCATAATATAAAATGATTTATGATTAGATTATAGGATTATAATATTTTAGTAAAGGGACCATCTATATTTAAAATGTAAGTATCTTAATAGTCATAGAAAAACATTAATAAAATTCAATCCTCATTCATGATCAAAAGCTCTTAGCAAACTCAGCACAAAAAGAAGCTTCCTCAACCTAGTAAATTCTTCTAACATTTCACCATGGAGAATGATATAAACATTGAAAATGAAGTAAACATTGAGATGATATTTACACCATTTTATTAGCAAAACACTAAAGGTTTCCTTTACTGTCAGAAACAAGACATATGTGGCAATTATCACTACTTCTACTGAACAATGTACTGGAAATCTCAGTCGGCACAGTGAGACCAAAAAAGATATAAATGTTGTAAAGGAAGAAACAGATGGCCAACGAAATCACTATCTCAAAGAGATATCTATACTCTTATGTTCTCCGTAGCATTATTCACAACAACCTAAGTGTCTGTTGACAGATCAATGGATAAGGAAAATGAGGTGTATATGTATATACACAAGGAAATATTGGTCTGCCTTAAAAAAGAAGGAAATCTAATGACACAGGACTCATAAAGAAATACAAAATATGAAAAATTCATATGTATTTTAAAAAGTTTTGCTTTTATTTTTCAATTATAGTTGACATATTATATTAGTTTCAGGTGTACACCATAGCGATTAGACATTTATATAACTTACAAAGTAATCTCCCCCATAAATCTAGTATCCACCTGGCACCATACATAGTTATTACAATATTATTGACTATATTCTCTATGCTGTACTATACATCCCCATGACATTTTTGTAACTGCCAATTTGTACTTCTTAGTCCCTTCACCTTTTTACCCAGCCTCTCAACTCCCCTCCCATCTGGCAACTATCAGTTTGTTCTTTGTATCTATGAGTCTGTTTCTTTGGGAAACTCAAGCCTATTTTCATTCAGTGACTTGTAAAGATGGTTCTGATTCTAGCTGATGATAGCGATTATAAAATTTGCCAATAGTAGCTTCTAGTTTGCAACATTAATAATAATAATGTTTGGGTAGCCTATTTTTTTTTTACAAACCATCTCTTTATATGTACATCTCTTTATTTGATCCCCACAATTTTTTGTAAGAAATTAAAAGAATAAATTAAAATAAATTATAGAAGAAAATTGAAAGCCATGAAATTTTAAATAACTGTCCCAAACTTGCAATAATTTTTAAGGGTAGATTTGGACTATGATCAAATCTTCTGATCCCAAATTCAGGCTCTTCCTACTATATCATACTCTCAAATTTGGACTTTAATGCAATCACTCTATCTTACTTTCTTCCAAAACCATAAGAGGGATTTAACTATGTATATATCATCGCATACTTATTTGTCAACTCTTATACAGTTTATGTATAAGATCTAAAAATCTTATACAGTTTATGTATCTACATAAAAAGAGCAGTAAAATAACTAATTTATTGTTCAGGCTCAAGCTATAGCACATCTTAAATGATAATAGCAATTATATAATAGAGCCTCAAGATTTTTAATTTAAAAAGGGACTAGGCTATTATACATATAAGAAAGATAGTTCTCAGCAAGTTTCTATATGGTTGGAAGAATTCAGCACCTTCTAGTAAGATGAGAGATTCAGAATATATTTTGGATAAAAATACTTTTAATTATTAGTTATGATAAATTTGTAAAAACTGGATGAATTTCCTGACCTAATATGATTTTATCTCTACTTTGAATTATGGTTTTACATAAATTAGATGAAACTGAAAATCTTTAGGATATTTTGGAAAATAAAATTTAAGCATTACTTAATAATCAATTAATTTAAAGTTATACCAGATAACTATGTCATCAGATCTGTATACTGATGTTAATATTATTATATATATTTTATATAATATTATTATATACTATAATATTATTGTAGTTATTATTATTATAGTTAATATTATTATTGCTATAATAGATCTGATGACATAGTGAACACGCTGTGAACACACTATGATCAAATCTCGGAGGCTATTTTGAGGTCCAGCACACTTAAACATCAAAAACAACCTAATATACAAAAAAGAGACTAATATAAAAGAGACTATTTCCCTAATGTGGCAAAGCTTAGAATCTGTAATAAAATTTTAAAAATTAAATTTAATAAAACAAAAAACTCACAGGAATGAAAACATGTATATTAGAAAGAAATGTTTTATCACAATGGAAATAAATGTTTTACCTTGGTTTGTTGCTTGAAGTAATGGCCATTTTTCTGAACAACTGATGGGCGTAAAAACTTCACTGTAGTCCTTAGGAGTGTGTAACGTGGCTTCCTCGAATTCATTTTGGGAATTTGGATTTGAACTTGGAACAACTTCCTCAAATTCATAGTTAATCTGAGTCGCCATTCCTGTAACTGTTTTTCTATGACATTACAAAATTACTGATTTTATGTGTTTTATTTTAAAACATTTTTATTAACAAATAGTATATGTTCACCGTAGAAAAACTAATACCAACTTCCAACAGATACAGAGAAAAATTACCCATAGCCCCACCACTCAAGAAATAAATTTAAAAATTATGTATTTTTATAATTATTTTGAGTATTTTTAAACAAAAATGGATTCATGTACATATTATTCTGTAACCTGTCTTCTCTGATAAAGAGTAAAGCATGACTATATTTATATGTTAATTAATGTACATTCACTTCATTTTTAAATGGATGAACAGGATTCTATTGTCTTGGTAAAAAAACAACATTCAACCAATCTCTACTGCTGAAAATTTAAATTTGTTGTACATGTTTGCTATTATGATGCAGGGAATATCTTTGTGTACTCGTCTAATTGTTTTCTCAAAATACTTTTCCTAAAAATGGAAATGATAAAGTTAAAGGTATACAGATTTTTATACTTTGCCATGCATTGCCAAATTGCTCCTTCCATATCATTATCCAATCTTTTATATTGTCTATACTCTTGGGATATTTAGACTCGCAAGAGATATTTCTAATTAACTTTCCAACAGATAAATATATTATTGGCAATTTAGCTACCTAACCTAATATACCATTTTTTTTCTGATATCCTAAATATTTTAGCCTTAATAATTCTGTATACAGACTTAAGGAACCAAAATCGATATAATTCTCCAGTGTAATTGGAGAAAAAATAAATATGCCATATCTTAAAAATCATAGATAGAAAAATCTCTAAAGTTTCTCCTTTACTCTTGAAGAAAATACAAAGTACAAGAAAAAATGTTTCAACTCACTCAGGTCCATATTACTCAAAAGAACACTGATTCTTTTTGTGTTGATGAAAATGCTCTAAAATTGATTGTGGTGATGGTTGCACAACTCTGTGAATATACTAAAACTATTGAATTGGACATTTTAAATGGATGAATTATATGGATATAAATTATATCTCTATAAAGCTATTACATAAACCAAACCAAACAAAAAAGTATAGGGTTTTAAGTCAGACAGACTGGGGTTTGAGGGTTTGAAGACTAGCTCCCACTATTGACTAGCTGCATGACTGTGATCTAGTTACTTAATCTTCATAAATAATATTGGGATAGTAATATTGAGCTCATATAGTTGTTTTGAGGCATACAGGAAATATATGTGCAACATCCTGCATTCAACTGTATTCATCTGAGTGCTGCAAGCCATGAAAGAATAGAGAATTTCAATATTATTATATGTTCTTCCTCTTGCTCTCTTTGGCTATGTGCAGTGTCCTAGAAGCCAGAAGCTTATTGCATGGTTCTCCCTGATATTTTTGCATTTTGCCTTGTCTAGTTCAATAGTCTCGACCCTTCCTTTAGCCTATCCATCAAGCTAGCTTCATCACTCTAATACATACCTATTTGTTAGGAATTTAACGTCTTTTAATCTATGCTAATGGTTTTTTAAAAATTAGAATAGTTATTTGTGGTAGTGCTCTGTCACAAGTTGCATAACTTGGACTACAGAAACTAATTTTCCTGTATGTCCTGTTACTTTTGGTGTGCAATTTTGTGTAACACAGGTTTTTTGGGAATACATGGCAGAAAATGCCCACATATGTTAAAACAAAGTATACCAACAAATTAGTAAAAGCATTGAGGCCTGAGAATCAATATTAAGAAGTAACAAAAATAGAAGTAAGAAATAAAGAAAGGTGAGATAGAGAATTTGGAAAAGCAAAAATCAGGGAATCTAAGTAGTGCTAATCATCAGAATGTTTATTCTTAAGTTCTATTAGGTAACAAAACTGTAATAGCGCCTCAATAATTTAGAATTAAATGTCAATATGGGAAATCTATGTACCTTCTGCTCAATTTTGCTCTGAACCAAAACTTGCTATAAAAAATAAAGTTTATTAAAAATTTAAATTTTACTACATGAGACAAAATTAATAGTGGCCTAAACACACAAAAAGTCTAGAGGTTAGAAGTTCATAGCTAGTAAGGCAGTTCCACAATTGTGTTAGAAACTGAGGCTCCTTTTGTTCCACTATGCCACTGCTAGATTTAGTTCTTGTCAGTATAGTCCAAGGTGGTTGCTGGAACCAATCATTATATGTGTATGCCAGCATCAGGAAGGAGAAAAGTAAAAAGAAAACCATGCCACTTTCTTTTAAGGATATTCACCAGAAATTTCATAAGCCTCTTTTGCTTATATTACATTGAGAAGAACTTAGTCACATGGCTCTGTCTGGCTACAGGGAGGCCGAGAAATGTAAATCTAATTCCAGGTGTCTTCTTTGCCATGAACTATATATCAGTACTGCAAAATGAACGGAAAGTCAGATATGACCAGCTGTCCATTCCCTTAAGGCCTCCCATTTCCTTCATACAAGAATCTTTTGTTTGAGCCAAAGTAGCCTGATCACTGCCTTCATTGAGTACTTATGGCATAGTCCTGCCTCTATACCTTCAGACATGCTGTTTCTCTTGTCTGAAATGTTTTCTCTCAATAGTCTTCTCCTTCAAAGTCCAGCTCGAGCTCAATTCCTACTTCTTTGTGAAGCTGATCTCTCCTGCTTACAAATGCATAGATAGCCCTACCAATCTAACTCACAGGATGAAAAGAGATCTTAGAGATCATCTTGTATCTTGCTACTCAAAGTAGGTTCATGGAGCAGCAGCATCAGCAAACCCTGGAGCATATTAGAAGTGCAGAATCTCAGGCCCCATTACTGATGGACTTAATCAGAATCTCCATTTTTAATTAGATCTTCAGGTGATTCATATGTACTTTAAGTTTGAGGAGCAGTAATTCATTATCATTATACTGATAAAGAAAGTGAGAGAGAGATAAAATGACTTGTCAAGTAATTAGTACTTGACTTATCAAATCAAGACTTGAAATCCACATCTTTTAATTCACAGTACAGAGCTCTTTTCACTATACCTTTCTGCTTCTTCACTGATGAAGAGTTCAGTCATGCAATAGATACTTTGCATTGGCCATATGCCTTGTGATCTTATGGTTATCCTGTAATTTAATTCTTACATTATTAATTTTTTCTGTTTATATATTATCTTCCTAATTTGACTTTTAAATTCCTAAATGACAGAAATGGTATATTGGATTTCTCTGTATTTAGAGTCTAGACACATTAAAACTGGTTGTTTCTTTCAAGTGCAACAACAACAAAAAAATTAAATCACTAAAACTTGAAAATGTGAATAACTAAATCCTTCCTGCGTCTGATCAGCATTCTTTGCATGAAGTAAAGCAACAGAGTTAATTATTTACATTTGCACTGAAATATCTAATTTACATCTATATTAATAATGTAGAATAGGTCAGATATTCCTCATATTATCTCTGTGTTCCTATCTCTGTCACTGTACTTTCCACATTGTATTGTAATTATTTATTTATAAATCTATAGTTTACATTTTCTTGTGTTGAGAGTAGAGATTGTCTTATTCATTTTTTGTATCCTGTATCCAGCACACAGTATAATATCCAGTAAATATTTGATGAATGACTGAACTAATAATAAATAACATTTTGACAAAGTATGTTAAAAAACAGCCTTAAATCTGCATTTATAGTACAGGGCAAAAGCTATTTTACTATGAAGGATATTCTATAGACACAAAGTTTACTTATTGACTAAAAGCATAATAACATATTTACTTTATTTCTGTGTGTTTTTGTAACACAGATGCTTACAGAACAGTTAATATGTGATGAGGGCAAGATAAAAAGAAGATGTAAATCACTTCTATTAACCTTTCCTTTGTGGTCAGATTAGGGCTTTTTCTTCAGATAAAAGATGAAAATTTGTGCAGATATAAAGGAAAGGATATTCTCTCTTTAGTTGTCTGTAGAACTACTATTTATCTCCAAGATATAAAGGAAAATTTGAGGTTAAGGACACATACTTCTCAAGGAACTCCTCCACAAAGAAACTTGCTTTCCATTGGTCCAAGATTGAGCTATCATTCATTCCCCGCACTGGAACAGCTGAGACTAGGAAGGGGAATGGTAAACATTAGCTTCTAGAATTATCTTTTATTCTTAATACAATGAACCTAACTATTTACCTCTGACATTATAATATTATCTTTATTTGTTCACAATGTAATTTTTCCAAAGATTCCAAATATTTAATCATTCTCATTATTACCCCCCCAAAATATCAATGACCTACATTTAGTCAAACTAATGGTCAACTCACTATCTTCATCTTACTTGACCTTTTAACAAGGACGAATGCTTCTGACTACTTCTTCCTTCTTGAAATACTTTCTTCTTTAGAATTCTAAAACACCGCATTCATCTGGATTTTCTATCTCACTTGTCTTCTCAGGTGGTTCCTCCTTCTGTATCAGCCTTTTAACTGTTGGAGCATTCCAAAGCTCCATTCTAGGTTCTCTGCTCTACCATACTCATGCTCTCAGTGACTTCATCCAATTCTATGAGTTTATGTGCAATCTACATATTGATGACTCCCACTTGAAACTCCAGTTGTGCTCAAGATTAATATTACCAATTGCCTTCTTGATGTAGATGCTTAATTGGTATTTTAGCCTGGCCAAAGCAGGGCTATTGACTCCAGCCACAAACTGGCTTCTCCATGAGCCTTTCCCTATCTTAAGAAATAGCACTGCCATCCACCCAGTTTCTCAGGTCTAAAATTTAGAAGAAATTCTTTATTCTATTTTTTTAAACCCTCTCACTGTTGGCTGGACCTTAATTTCAACCACTTCTCACATCTTCATCATTATAAGCCCAATCCAAGCCACTCCCATCTTTTATATAGCATGTAGATGTACCTAGTATTCTAGATCTGGAACCACTACAATACCTTCCTGATTGACTTTCCTGTCTCCGCTCTTGCCTCCCAATCCCAACCCTGTCCATCTTCTAGACAACTAGAATGATTTGTTCTAAAACATAAATCAGATTATGTCACTTCTTTTCTTTAAATTGTCCAATGACCTACCATATTGGCCATAATGTAAACAAACAAGCAAACTCCATATTATGGCCTGCAAAGCCTTATATCTCTCAGAAACTGTCTATTGTACACCCTACTCCTGAAATTTCATAACACATTACACAATTGTGTCTTCTCTATACATTTATCAATACCAGATATTAGTTTATATATTTAGTGATTTTATTGCTGCATCTTCCTTACCAGTCTGAAAGCCCACCGAGGGCAGGGACTATTTCTATGTCTTATTAGTAATTGTCCTCAGCACCCATAACAGTGACTGGTACACAATACATGCTAAATAAATGTTGTTAACAGACTTGACTTGTCTGTGGAGGCTACTTCTTTCTTAAGTCCATGACATGATAAAAGCAAAAGATAATATTGTGTACATATACATTTAAAAATAGTTTTATATTCAGTGTATCACTACAACTTACAGTAGCCCTCCTACAGTTGAGAGAGATCCTGTTATAATACAACAAATGTTTACAAATGTTAGACTATGTTAAGACTTTATCATCTATATATTTTTTATTTGTTCTATTTATATCAAGTATAAGCTTTCCAATTCTTTACATTGTCACTCCAATTCTGTCATAAAAATGAATAAATGCAATGCATTTTATTTAATGAGAAAGCACTGCATTTTCTTACTACTGTGCTAAACTCTGAATTTTTAAAATGGATTTTTGAGAAATAAAAATAAAACATACCTCTCGTCCATGGCCTCCTAAATGTATCATCAACAATTCCTGCTTGATAATTTCCATCTTGATATAAACATGAAGGGATTCGAAGAAATAAAGAATCTCCACGAGACTTCTTTCTAACTACATTCTATGCAAAAAAGTAAGATTATAAAATCTTTTAGCATATTTAACAGATTTAACATATTTATTTATTAATAGTCATAATATTGAAATTCTTTATTCTTTTAAATTTTTATTTAAAGGTAATATTCGCTCATTATAAAATACCAAATAACACAGAATCACATTCTGAGAAAGTCAAGGTCCCTAGTAATATCAGTGATAGTTTAGTGTATTTTACTATAGAGTTTTTTTCTAGGTTAGGCTAAAATGTGAGTGTATTTGGCAAAAAATGGGATCACATCATTTAATACCATTTTGCAATGTGCTTTTTTTCACTTAGTATAAGTGGTTGTTTTAACTTTCGTTTTCTATGTCTTTGCATTATTTCACTTGTGACAATCATCAAATGTTTCTAATTTTTAAAAATCTAATAAATAAAACTGTTTCTTTAAAAGGATGTTAAATCAGTTCAGTAAATCAAAGTTCTCTATAATTTGATTATGCCTTTACTTTCCAGCTCTATCGCCCATTACTCTCTAACATCAATTGTTCTCTTTAAATAGACTTCTCTCCTCACTACCCCATTTAACATTTAGCAGTCACTTCTTTATCAACAGCATGGTCTATAGTGCGCCTCTGAAAAATGTTCCACTATTCTTTTCTAGCTATCGAAATCCTATTTATTTTTCAAGGCTCATCTAAGCAATAGCTCTTCTATAAAGTCTTTCTTCAGTGACTCTCAACTTCCCACAAAATTCATTATTTTATGTATTTAGATAAATAATAGTTTCTAAGTATTTTCCAGAAGTTTTATATTTGCTGAAAGTGTTATAACATAGTAAATAAGAGGTCCTTATTATCCAAGAATAAATGGTACAAAAAAAAATCAGTTAAAGTGATTTATGTAAAATGAAGATCAAAGGTTCACAATAAGAAAGAAAAACAGCTTGATTGGTAGTTTACCTAAAAGAATAAAATAAAGTTATAAAAATCAAATTTTATACCTACCAAAATTTTGTTTATAATTAGCTTATAATAGCTTTTTGTCATAATTTTCCCACAAACTGTATAATGACATGCATGATATTAGTCATTACTTCACCTTTGGTCACAAAGAAGATATTTTTAGAAAATATTTGAGGATTTAACCAAGGCATTAAATATTTGAAGATTTAATCAAGGCATTAAATATTTGAGGATTTCCCTAGGCATCTCTGACTCCCTTGATATTCAAACCATTCTCTTCTTGTTTGTTAACTGATCTAATTTTGCAAGATCCTCATATGATAATAGATTTACCTATTATTTGAGTGGTTCTTCAACACTTTTCATGAACTTTAAAAGATCCTGTACTTTTATAAGATTTGTCATTGATTAATAATATATTTGTACTGTATCATGGGGTGTGGTACATGAGCAAGAAACTAAGATAATATGGCAAGGATAAAAGTTTGAGGATGTTTGAGTATAGACTAGTTTTTCAAGTGGCCAATATATTCATAAATATATTTGTGTAACAATGACTTCTGATTCCCTACTACATATATGTTATAATGATACATTTGCTTCCCTTACTTATGAGGGAATGATAAAACCTGAAGATCCCTATATGTAGTTCTTATTTTCTGTAAAATGTAACACAGTGTTAGTGATATTGGAGTATTTTTTTTCCTGGTAGATGGGGTCAAAGTTGTAAAGAGAACTTAAATTTAACTTGTCAATTAAGATCATAAGAACAGTGAACTTTGTTGTGTAAGTACTCCAATTAGTTCTTAATCACGTGTCTGGCTTGAGTCTCAGCTTTGTATAAGCTATTTAACTTCTCTAGACATCAGTTTCCTACCTGTAAAATTGTAAAACCTGTATAATAATGGTATCTACCTCAAAGAGTAGTTATGACAATCAAATGACATAACTCATCAAAAGAGCAAATGATCAAGTGATATAATCCAGCAAAATAGCAAAGTATCTGGCCTATAATAAGTGGTGAACACATGCTACTATTGGTATTTTATCATAAAGATAACTAAAATTGCTTTTTCCCCACATTGTCAATAAAGATTACTTAAGATTGTTCGTAAAGCAGCCCAAACTTTCTAAGAGTTTCCATTTTTTTCTGCTGACACTTTAACTTCATTATAAACTGTCTATAATTTCCTTCCAAAAGTGGCATTTTTAAGGTATATTAAAAGTAGGAAGCAATTTTAAATGAATCTCGAAGCAATTAGATTAAGGATTATTCTAAGGACAACTGCAAAGTCATCATAATTATAGAGCAAATTCAGATAACATTTTTTATATCATAATACTTAGTAAATAGGTAATAATCCAGTAACATCCTACCTCATATAAATAGTCTATTGCGCAATATTTGAATGTTGAAAACATATCTTCTTTTTTTGAAAGTACTAATTTCAAAATCTGTAAATATAAAAATTAAAATTAAATGTTGGTAAAATAGCAAAGCCAAGAACAAAAAATCATTCTTAATCACAAAACTTTGTTTCATTCATTTAAAAAAAGGATCTGAGAGAGATAAGATTAGCATTTTCCAGAGTCTGGAAGGAGTGTGGAATGAGAAGTGATTGCTCAGGATTCCCAAAGGATTTCCTTTGAGAGTAATGCAAATCTTATAGAACTACATAATGGTGTATGGCTGCACAACAGTGTAAGCGTATTAAATTCCACTGAATTGTACACTTTAAAATGGTTAAAATGATGAATTTTATGTTATGTATATTTTACCACAATAAAATTGAAGCTGAAAAAACAAAAACAATTTTAAAAGGGTCCAAATGATAAAAAATTAACTATAAACATAACACTTATTAATGATTTTATCTAATATAAAAATATGTTGATATAAAATTAATATATTTTTCCTATTCTTTAGTACACACAGCTTCTAGTTGGTAGACTGAAATATATTTAATGTGATCATTTTGTTGCAAAAGAAGCTGAAATTCACAAGACTGGTAGAGTGGTTTTCTCAGGATAACCATATTTCTTAAGTAGTCTTGAAATAAAATAACCAAGTTTTGGGAAGTTCTGGGAAGTTCTACTTTCTTACTTAGAACATAAAAAACCTGAAGTTAGAATTCCCTAATCGTTAGCTCATTTGTAATAAAACAACTATGGCATATTATTCCTAGGTAAGTGGGTCACTATTAGTAAATCAACAAATTCATGGAA